TATACCGAATTTCAAGGGTAATGTGTTTTAAAAATCATGTTCTCCATAAATGGCTAATTTTTTTACATTCCGTAAGGAGTGTACTTTAATTATAATATGCGTAAACAATAATATCATTAAATTAATATATATTAACTAATAAGTTAATATTTTTTTATTAAATTCTGTAATTGGGCGTTGTTTATTTTCATCAACACAATCATCTAAAAGTCAAAACTAAGAAATATCAGTTTTTAATGGAAGTACAACCTTGATATTCAAGTATTGTAATGATAGGTCTGAGTATCTATTAAATAATGTATGTAATAATATTAAATTATTTCTTTAATATTATCGGTAGACTCCCCCATCAAAATTGTTTTTGACAGTGTTAAAAATATTTTTAAATCCACCCTAAACCGTCGGCCGTTTCATCTCACTGTCTTCATGTGTCAAATTGTCTTGGTATTATAAAGTTCAACATTATAATGTTACGATAAAAAAACAATTGGATTTTGAAAAATGATTCCACTACGGCCGCTTACAAAACTTACATTTAGGTAGGTAATATATACTACTGTAGCAATGATATGAAATAAAGATATGGCATCACTTTTTGCTTTTGAATTTTGATCTACCTAACGATACATACATTATTAGGAAGGTAAATAAAAATAATAAACCACATCGTAGTATCCATGCATTACTCGTTTTGCTACCCATTGAAATCCCTAGTTGGAAAATAGATATTATCGTTCTGTATAGGATCTGTCGAATGAATTTTCTACTTGACCAAGTTTGTATAGGTTCTAAATGAGGTGTTAAATTCGAAAAACGAGATATGTGTAAGCCAGACAAAACTCGATATTCGTCAATTCTGCCGATTTTGGGAAACTACCTGTATTATATACATCTATTGCGCCGGTGGAAAAAAGGTAGGTATACGAAAAAAATATACATCAACTGCGGCAGATTTTTTTTTTTACTTTTATTTTTTTTTTCAACGCTGTTCATTCGTATACGTGATTTAAATTTGGCTTAACGTTAAACCTGTGACCTCCTTCTAGACTTAAGCCAGAAAACCTTGGATTTTTTTTTAGTTTAGCGGAGCGAAGCGATCAAGTGTCAAAACACTCGGTGACCTGCCGTACGATAGTAGATATCAAAATATAAGGGGGGGTCCCCTGATTAACATACTAAAAATCTCATCCCCCACCCTCTCTGCTATTTTTTTTTTTTAGAGAGGGTTGAACACCCCCAAAATCGGTTTTTTTCAAAAATCTAGAAAAATATTATACTTACAACATAATTTTCTTGATAAAAGTTGTTAGTCACATAATTATCTATAAGTTTTTTTCTTATGCATTTTTGTGTAAGTGCAAAAGTAATGTTTTTGTTCATGCCAAACATGTAATTAAAATCTGTCTATTTCTAGTGCCGTATTACTCGTTTAAACAAATAAAGCCATAAGTAATATTTTATAGTTTAATAATTTAACGGAAAATATCAAAACGGATCGAGCAATATCATCATTACGAATTATTGGAGAATGCCGTAATTTTAGTAAAATAATGACACGTTAACAATTAAATTATTAAAAAAATGAAGATAACGACTAATTACAAAAGTCAAATATTAATATATACAGACAAAAAATTTGAATATTCTTCGTCAGCCGACTTCAGTACACCACTTGTCATCAGTCCATAGTGTCTGGTTGTCGCTGTCCGTTACCAAGGTTTAAGTTCAAGAGCTCGTTTGTTAAGCACATTGTACTTTTCCTCTCCACGCACGGGTTTTGAGATTCGACGTATCGTGTATTATATTATAGCTGTAACTTTTACTGCTGCCTGTTGTGCATCCTTATTTTGCCAATCTAATGAGTATTCTGGTCTAAATAGACAATAGTTAACAAAATATTGCTCAGCGCTTTTCGCGTCATTACACGAGAATCCGACGTCATTATTTTTATCTAAACTAGTTAATGAGCAACTTAAAGTGTCTTCGATGTTATCACAGATCACTCCGACGAAAAGAATATTGTGCGATACACAGCAAAACTTTCGAGGTTTTAGTGGCGAAATCGTAAAAATGAATTGACTATTTTTATTGTTACTGAAACTTTTAATAAATATGATTTTATGATTTTTCTTTGATTTTACTATATTTTTTAATTGATTAACTAAACGTCTTATGTGGGACGTGAAATTTTTTATTGTTTTCACATGTGGATTTTATTTTAGCATGTTCATATATTTTAAAATTAGTGAAGTTGAATTCACCACTGAAAGAGCTAATTTTACTTTGACTCGTGGCCATACTGTTAGAAAAGTCCATATCTCGTCGCTCAATAGTCAATATTGCCCGTCAAGACTAAACCACAGGTCTCTTGGACCATGCATTTATTTTATAGGTCCGTTCTTACAGATTTAACGATAATAGTAATGTTGGTTACAGGTGATTCAATTCCGCTCGAGGATACGCGGTTAAACAATTATCGAACACTTTCATGTAACGTCGTGGCGGTCTCGAAAAAGAAAATTATATTTCATAAAGAAAACGATTTAAACGCGCGAGATTGTCGTGATCACAATCTTGAAAATAATACGATCAATATATAATATAATACGACGAAGACGGCCATTGTCGATTCCCGTATAGCACTGCGGTTGAGGAATATCATTTACATGCGTTTATGTGCGGATGTAACGTGATGACCGTTGTGTAAAAATTCAATGTTAACTCTGTGAATCTGTTTTCGGTTTCCTACACGGTCTGCCATTTTTTAAAACGCCATCGGGTGGCTTCGTACAATTCAATTCAATTCATTATTTATGTTTTATATCCTTCCTTTTTTTACTTTTCTGTATTCAAATTCATATTTTTTGCATACACAAGACACACTGATGCACGACTCGGTTGTTATAACACGTAACGAGTAGTGTGTTTTTTCTTGTAATATGGTGCAAAATTTGAACAGTAATTCATAACATTTTTTGAACTATCATAATTCACGACCGCTATAAATGTGTATAAAACAATAAGTCATGTTAAGTTCGTCAACCTAACCCACATAATATATACATTTCTTGTATGTGTCTTATAATTTAAAAAAAAATCGTATTTACTAATTATAATTTTTGAGGACGCGATACCCCCTATTTATTAACGAGTTAGGTATAGGTAATTAATTATTTCACTAATTAAGACTCATTTGTTTGGTAGCTAGGTTATTTATTTTTTGGACACTACAGCATTCTTGCTGTAAACAATTTTTTTTTTCATCTAAACGCAGGACGCGTTTTACTCGGTTCGTAGTGGTTTTAGAGCAAATAATATATAAAATCGAAAGTAAACAACATTTTGGAGAAAATGGCATAGTTTATTGTGAATACACTTAACATTAATCTTACAATTTAACAAACTGAAAATCTTTTTTTTTTACTATTTAAACAAGGTATAACTCTAAAAGAGACATTATTTTGAAAAAGGATGTCATATTCTTCAAAATGTGGCTTACTTTATCCCTGGTATTGCTCTAAAGCCACCATAATCCGAGTAAAATTGAAATTTTTGATTACAAATAGTAATAATTTATTCAAAACCCCTCTAATCCAAAAATCAAAATTGTTTCCATCCACTGTAATGTATGGATGGTATAAAGGTGTCCAATGAAGAGAAAGTTATTTGATATTATGTTAACTGTTAAGTACTGTTTTTTATTTAAATTAATTTAGAAGTTTAAGAAACATCAGCTTTAATAATATATCCATCTAACTTTTGCCATAGCAATGATCACTTTACAAATGCATTATACTTTGTGTTTCAGCAAATAAATGTATTTTAATTTTCAAGCCGATTATATTTTTATACGTACATTGGCATACTTATTACTCAATGCTATAACTATAACTTATATTTTAATATATGTACCGTAAGTCTAAACCAATTATTGTAGTATTGTATAGTTTTAACTATTAAATTATTTTTTAAATCGCAGACTGATGTTATTGGATTTTCTAAGGAAAACAAAATAGCAAATAATGTCGATACGCTTACTTGGGATAAAGAACCGACGACAGTTAGATACAAAATATATGACGCGCGCTAGTTATGCTGCCTATACAGCGCCGTGTACTGGGTCTGCTCCGGTATTCGCCTACTATGGACATTCACATTCGACTTGCTTATTGAAAAATTCCCACTAGGGACTTACCATTACGTTCCCAACTTCACGGTGCTTATTATTTTTGTATCCAGACCATATCTCTTAAGTCGCCAGACCGAATTCTACATGTAGCAAGTATATATGGATCAGAAAGCGTGCCTAATTATTAAAGTTTACTCTTCCTCGTTCAAAATAAAAAAAAAAACACATTATTTGTTTGTTTTTAACTCGAAATTACATATTAAGGTCATTTTTTTAGCACAAATCGGAAGTATCAGAATTAGTTATTATTCGAGGGAGGGGGATGACCCTTATGGCACAGAATAGATTAGAATAGCTCTATTCTGCCATACGTCTTTTGACTTTTAAACATATTGTTTTTAATTTTTTTTGAGATTTTGTTAAATAACATTATTCCTTGACAACTACAATGTTAAAACAAATATGTTTTCCTGTGTGTTTTCTGTATATTATTATTATTATTTTTAAAAATTCATATAATTAACCATATTTAAAATCCATGAGCTCCTCGAACTTTTCTCATCGATTTTAGATTTTTACGCTTTGTTTTCACACTCCTGCAAACTAACCATCAAAAAGTCACGAAAACCCAATGTTATTTAAATGCAAAACTTTAAGAGAAGCAAAATAGCCTCTAGGAGCATAATTTTTTGACCAAAGCCAAAATAACAGTCACCCTAATGTGTTTAGTCTATAGACATATATAAATTTATTAATAAATGGAAGATAATATTAGCCATTTTCTATTAATGTTAATAGTGATAATTATAAAAATAGCAGCTAAATATTAATACATAGTATACATAACATAGAAATTGAATGGCAAAGTAGATTATGATTTTAATTTTGTTTTTTAATAATACAAGTTAATGTACAATATTATGAAACATTTATAAATGAGTTAATACATTAAAATGGCACAACACAGATTAGTAACAGTGATAACAGATTCGCAATAGCTTTTAACTACATATTTTGTGTTACAATTTATATATAATGTGTGGATTAATTTATTTTAGAATAAAACTTATAAGTTATATTTATAAATATGCAAAATAAAAAATTAAAAAATATAATTCAATAAGTTATTACAAATATTATATTCCTTATTAACAAGATATCTATAAAAAAAAGTTTCTAATTTAAGTAGTTCAGTCCATGCTGAATGCAAGAGGTTTCGGTGTCCATTTGTTGCCTATTTTTTAATTGGTAGCGTTATCATTTTTCTGAAAATAAATATTTAAGTTAACATATTAATATATTAAAAATATATATAGTTATTAATTATACACTGTGAACTTTAACTAGACTTATGTAACAAAAACTGCCTCAATTTGAAAATAAGCTGAAGTCCTGTCCACATTAAGAGGCAACTTGCGAGTTGACTAATGAAAATTGTTTGTATTGTCTCTAACATAAAGAAACAACAACATTGGAAACATGATGTACACATCAATGAAACGAAAGAAAATATTGAATCATTTAAAAAAAAACTGCTAGAATTATGTTTCTAAAACTCATTGACTTCATCAACAAGGAACCCATTGCTTATAATTAATTGATTAAAAGGGCGTCACAACCGTTATTTTCTTCAAAAAACCCACCTTGCGCGGCGTAATTTTACAAAGGCTGTGATGAAAACTAAGAAACCAAATGTTCACATAATATAGACAACGACATTGTCTGTGCTTTACCATGGCCCTTTTTTTTAATATTTCAACTAATTAATGAATAATTAATTAAGAAAGGACTTTATGAAAAATGATATAGTGTCGGTTGTATTATGTTGAAGCACAGATAATTTTGTCATGTATAATATGTATGAATTTCTTTCCTTAACTATATTATATGAAGCCTGAGAAACATTAATCCGCGCAAAGCAGATTTGATGGGAAAAAAATTGTAATTTATCCTATAGAAATAATTATTGTGATAGTCTTGACAAAAAAACATGTCAATCAAAAAGTATCCTCATTACTGTATTAATAAGTATACATTATAGTTCAAACTCTAAGTTAAGATTTTTCGAAAAATTGCCTATTCTTTACTTAGAAATTATTAAAAGAACGCAGTTGAAATTCCGTGATCAGAGCCTATATAGTAGTTTTTAAACATTTTTTTCAATATGGTGATATTTTACTGTTACTGCTGCACAGTGGCGCCGAAATCTTAAAAATGTGGTCGGGCAATTCCAAAATTTAATGGCCTTAGCCTGCACTTTTACAGATATAATGAACAATTTTTGGAAAAGTGGTCGGACCAAGGTCCGACCCTAGCATGGTAATCGATGCCACTGCTGCTGCATATATTGTTTTAAGTGCTGGCAATCAAGACAAACGCAAAAAGAATTTTCAAGTTTTAATGCGATATTGGTCCATCATAATGAACCAGATTTTGACATTTGTGGCTTGAGTTTCTTGGGTTCCAAAGATATTCTCTCTTACTGTAGAGTTCGACTAAATTAATCATTTTGTCATCTGTCAAAAAAGTCATTACGAGAAACTCAATTCTTATAATTACAATTTTTTTTTCTCTAAAATTATCAAATATAATATAATATAGTATTCAAATCATCTTATAATAAGATAAAATATACATGACAACCAGGAACACACAATTTAGAGTTAACTGACTAGACCGATAAACTTGTCATGTCATGTTTCTAGTTGTTGACTAATTTTCTATTTTTTGAAGGCAAAATGTTCTGCTTTATTTTGGAATATAAAACACAGGAATTTTCGTTGCACGCGTAACAAAAATAGGAAAACGTTTAGAAATGCCACAGCAGGAAAAATTGCTTTACGTTGTCTTAGTGTGGAATAGACTACAACACTAAGCAAGCATACTCTTAATTATTGTTATTTCTAGGTTAACAATAGTTTGAAAAATATAACTACTTTAGGTTGCCATTGAAGATATGTATCTTTAGTAGCTTCCAAGTATTCATCGACAAGATTTTGAACAACTGCTCTAGAGTCATCCATTTCACACAAGTCATCTTTAAACATATTTTGTTTGCGGAATTGATCTAAAAATGCTTCTCTATGACGTAGTTTATCATACTGATCCAAGACCCTTTGGAAAAGCTGTAATTAAAATACAAATATTATTTTAAACAGGCAAAAAATAAAAAAATAAGTTTAATATATAAATTATATTACTTGTGAAATGCTTGTGTGGTTAGCTAACATAAGACCAGATACTCGGTGAGCAGTGGGAACATATGGAGATTTTTTAGAAAGTGCTACTTGGATACTAGATGGTCCCCATTCGATAAACTGAACAGTCTTCCTCTCTCGAATCCTTTGTAGAGATTTATATACTTGAGTAGGGTCAACATCACCCTAAAAAGAAATATACAATTAAATATAATATCATTCATTTAGTACTAACCAATGCAAAAATGCCAATACAACTTGTATCAATAAACAATTAAATAATCATAAATAATAGAATTAAAATTTTAATAGTATCCCTATAATATTAAGTTTATAAATGTTGAATACTAAACTTAATCATGTTTAATTGCGAATGTAGTTGTATTCAACTTCTTGTTTACACCATAAAATTTCTTATTATACATGATGAAATTCAGATAATAGTATATTCATAGTTACTTTAGTAAGTTGATACAAGAAAAAAGTCTACATATGAAGGGCTGCAGGGAAGAAAGATGAATGTCAATTTTTTTTTGAAAATGAGATTTTGGTATCAAATTACTTGTATTGACGTATTAGAGAAATTAACAGAAAAAAATAATTAAATTAAATGTTTGTATTGGTACATGACGCGAATATTATTATGTTTATACCAGGTCTAAAAGCATTTTTTATGTTAAAAAAATAGTTAATTATCAAAACACAAAACTAATCAATTCCCAATAGCTGCCCAGGTAGATTATAATATTATATTAACTGGTTAACCTAATAAAGAATGAACTCATTCAACTTCAATATCGTCAATATTTATACCAAGCACTTCAGCTAATATATTATAATTACTTGAATTATGTTTAATATAGATAAATAACAGTGTGGTATGGATGATCTTTCTTGCGCTGTCGACACCATCATATTTTTCGGTTGTAGCAATCTTCTCATAACATCAAAAACAGTTGTTTTACGGATATTAGCACCCTGTTTTTATAATTTACGAAATATTAAATATTAAATAAATATTATAAAATACAAATTATAATATAATATTATAAATGATTACTTCATGATCCGTAGTTAATGGTGTATATCCAGTCATGAGAAAGTGTAAACGTGGTGAAGGTATTAAAGGACCAATCAAACCTACTAAATCATTATTCATATAGGACGGATACCTGCGAACAATAATAGAAATAAATATGAAGAAATACGCACTTAAAAAACAAAACAGAACTAATATTATGTTAATTTAATACTAGTATTATGGCCTTCATCCTAGTATAAGCTCTTTTTTTTTATTAAAAAAAAAAAAGAATGGATAAAATTAAATTGAAAAAATTTGTATGAGCACAGAGTTTTTACACATAATACACATATTACTCATAAAGAAAATGTGTGTTCTCTAGCCACGCAATTTTTGTTATAAGTACACGCACCTGGCATAATATATACTCCGGACACTTTAAGAAGGTACTTAACAGCCTCGTTGAGTCAGCAGAGAGCGGTTTCCACCTCGCAACATCGTCATAGTTCGGCTTTGCCTACTGTGCATACAGATACGACCTAGGCGGTGAATAACGAGTTTTGGTACACCACGCAGGTACCTTCTTAAAGTGTCAGGAGTATACACTATACTCTACTGAATATTGGTAGATATTATAAATGTTAATAATATAATTTTTATGAACAAACCTTAAAGTAGCAGTTGAAACAGACATAATAGTAGATACTAATGAGTTGATTTGTGCAAATGATGGGTTTTCTATATGCAAACGATCAGTGGCAATACGGTTTAGTGCAGTATTGTCTAAAACTACAACACAATCTGCACTTTGTGCAAGGCGCTTTAGAGTTAATAAAGAATTATATGGTTGTACTACAACATCACTGTAAATAACAGTATAATAAAATATTAGTACATTTCATTATATTTCACATTTTATATAATGAATGTATGTAAAATAATTATTTATTACCTTATTTCATCTTGATTTGGAAAAACACTATAAGTTTCAATAATTTTTTTTGGGTAACGATCAGTTAAATGTTCTAAAATATATGATCCCATGCCTGAACCAGTACCACCTGCAATAGAATGGCATAGTACGAACCCTTGTAGACTATCACCACCTTCAGCTTCTCGGTCTAATATGTCAAAAACCTCTTCTTGTAGTCTTTCACCTTGGCTGAAACCTGATGCCCAATTGTTACCGGCACCGCCTCCGTGTTTTGATAAATATACATTTTCAGGGTTGTACAACTAAATTGAAAATAATTGTTTTACTATAAGTAATTACACTCATCATACATTTTTATAAAAATATATAGCGTGAATATTATCTTACTTTAGAATAATTAGACGACATAATACTATGAATTACACGTGGTTCTAAATCAAGTAGAACGGCTCTAGGAACATAATGATTGTCATCGGCTTGATAAAAAAATACATCTTTTCTATCACCAACACCTTCTGTAGCAAAATCTTCGAGGACGCCTTCAGGATTGATACCATGTTCGGCGCAAAGTTTCTTCCAAAATTCGAAACCAACTTTACATTGGATAAAAATAAAAAAAATAAAATATTATTTACTTAGATATCTCATAAAAAATATAAATATTAGTTTAAATAATTTTATTAACGAAAAAAATTATTGCTAGTACAATAATTACCTACTGTTCATTGACAAGATATTTATCTCCTAAAAATACTTATCATGTGATTAAATTTACCCGATAGTAATCCAGTGCCTGAAGATGATTTATAAAAACACATCCAAGAGGGCTCATTAATAAGTGTAAAGTAAAAAGTGTAAGAATACTATTTTTCTATACATGAGAGTTTCACCCTATGTAGAAGTTATCTAGTAAGCTAATTTTACTGATTTAATAATAAGAAACGCTAGTTTTGCGTTAAATGTAAATTGGAATATAAATATACTTAAAATATAACGAGTAATCTGTATAAAATTAAAACTACACTTTTCTATTTTGCTCTTAGATAAATTAGTTAGTGCTTAATATTATAATCGGAGTTATAGTAACTTACTTTGATTTCCACACTGGCCCAGTTGGACCGTTATCATTTCACACGGCATAATTTCAAAATTAATATTTCATCAAGAAGTACATTAAAAATTACTCATTAAGCATTCAATTCGGAAGTAACGATATCTTACAAACGATTTTTTACCTTTAATATATTTAATCAATCATTTGTTGATAACAATGCATGGCTAATAGCTATTAAAATGGCGGGAAGTTTTCAAATTGATAACAGCAGGAACAGTGCAGTGTAGCAAACGAGAGTTAAAAAACGTGGATTATTACACTGGTTAGAATTTATTGAATAATCACTGAATACCTAAATATTAATTTCACTGACTGAGGACCGCGGCCATAGTCTATATTCACCGAATGTACTGCAGATAATATCGAATTATTTAAATTGATTAAATACATGTATTTAATCTATGGTAGCGTCATCACTCATCTCAAAACTCACAGTATAATAAGTGGCCTATACCAAACGGCGCATTTTTTCTGTTAGCTACTTTTGTCGACAGTCGACACAATGGTCGTATTTTGGTAGACTATAATTCAAATGGCTGACATTAAATGGATCTATAATTTTTTAAGGACGGGAAAGTATAAGTACACAAATGTTTCTATGGCATAAATAATGGTGAAAATAGTTCTTATGAAGAAACTGCCTCAGGGAAATTTCGGAAATTTTTTTTAGTATTGGTCCATATTTTATTTTATAAAAACGCTTACATGAGTATAATAAAAACAAATTAAGAGGTAAAAATAGACATATACAAATTAATTATGCGTGAAATACAGTTTCATAAAAAATTATACAAAAAACAAAACCGCTTTAATATTTGATATTTAATTCATAACGATTAAAATAGCAACGGTTTTAAATTTTATCGTTGATTAGAAAAATAACGGAAATTGAAAAACCTGGTTGTAATTTTTCAAACACATACGTATTATGTTCAGCATTTGCTGTAGAAAAAAATAAGAACTTAAGGAACGCCAAGAATACATCCAGCTACCAGGAGCTCATCTCAGAAGTCAAAACATACAATACGATTAACTCAACAATATGATTGAGTATTATTACTCGGAATAGAAATATACCTAATATATTATCGTATAATGATTAAAAACAAATCACGTTAAAGATGTCTATTTGAAATTGTATGGCAGTCGAACTTAAGAGGAAACATGCGATTCAGTTGTCTGAGTGGAGGAAAAACGTTTAATGAGTAGAGTGTAGACCGGATATCATAAACATTCCGCATATTTAGAGCCAAATAAACGGCGATATTTATTCTGAAAAGGATCATAAATAGTGTTTTTATTATTTCACATCGTTGTTTTCTCTTGTATTTGTTGCCGTTCATCTGGTGAGCCTACAATGGATATATATTGGAGTAGATAATATAGAGTAGATGTATCGGCATTAAGTTGTTACTGCAAAAAGAAGGTTGGCTACTTGTGCCATCCGTTTTGTTTTTTTTTTGGCTCGTCTGTTTTACGAGCCCGGTCGGATGTGCTAACTCGGACCGGTCGCTGTTTGTTATTTTTTATTACGGCCCGTTATTTATTAGAATATGCATTTCTCGTCGTTTCCGCTCTTGTCTCCAGACACATATAGACAAATTAATGTGGTTTTCCAAACAAATTCGTATACGAGTCATTGTGCAAGTAATAACGCAATATACTAAATGATTAATATCGGTCAAAATTCAATTATTATAAACGGAGTGAGTACATTTTTACCAAATTGCGTTGGACAACGAAACGTGTAAATTGAAACACCCTTACGGTCTGTGCAAAAATGCGACTTGCCAAAGAAAAATGCACAAAATGTTTTGTAGGTGTTGCGCCCTCTCGTTCTCTATATTTTTTACCCGCGGACCTCCGAAACGTTTACCAAAAAAAAAACAATACACCGCAATTGCCGTCTAAACACATGGTAATTAATACAGATTTCGACCAATGTCGAACGACGGGCGACTTAAACACGAATGTTCACTACGACTCGATCGACGATTTTCAATTCCCCTTTTTTTTAGAGATGAAAACAAATACCTATGCGATCCTACACGGACGACGTCGATTAAAAACGTACGTTTACTGGCTGTGCTTATACATGCCATTGCGCTGCTGGACGGATTGCATAATATATTGTAACGTCGGTGGTAGGTATCTGAGTTTTTGGAATAAATATAAAACGCGAGTGGTCGTAACAAATCATTGATCTAAATCGTTTATGGAGTGTGACGTACCGTTTATACATTGCCCGTATTTAGTTGTTCAGCAAAGTCTGAACATCGCCGTCTTCGTGTACGGTATTCTTATGTTAAAAAATGAAGAACGGCGAGCGCACATTCGTACATTAATATGTATTGGTGCTCTCGGAGTAGTTGAAAAAATATATTTTATGTCCTTTACAGGACATTTGTAAGGAAAAGTATATACTAAATGTCTATATATATATATAAAAAAATGATCGCGCTAGATATCGTCTGCCAAACCCATTGTTGTATTTCACTCGGACTGTAATCCCGATAGTGTATTATGTGAATTAAAACCCTATCGTTTTTCTTTTTCGTCAGACACTACAGCGTGTACAACCGCGTTGAAATTAAATACTGCGATATTGATTACTGGAAAATACAAACTTCATAAAAAGTCAACCGTGTAAAATCATATTAGTACAACATATAATATATTATTTACCAATGACGCTGCGCATAATATTAAAATTAAATTTGTTCAAGTGTTCGCTCACAGTCTAAATATTGCCATTACCGTCACTGTTATTAGTGTCTTAAAAACAGTACTCGAATTGGGAGGGGGGTCCCGAGTACCCCTAACTATTATTATCAGCAATCGTAGCGTACCCCCTATACTAGTTTTTATAAGCGGTGGTTTTTTAAGGGTAAACGAAAAATGTCGCGTATGCTCTTTATTTTAAAGTAAAAAACGTGCTCCTACTTTTATTTTTCCAATTCAAGTACTGGTTTTAAGGTCACGACGGGAAGCTGGAATGGTTTAACAATTTAGCGTTTTATTTATTAGAATATTTCAAATCATAGTCCACCAAAAAAAACGTTTTAAAATATATTCATAAATTCATTATTTGTAATAAATAATAATGTAAAAGATGTATATTATTAATATCGTCTCAGCTTCGCATTGAAGGTCAAAGCTAAAAGATTAATTTTGATCTCCGCCGTACGGTTATATCTCATATTAATATTAGTACCTTATATTATTTGTAAAAGACGCGTTTAACTATCCCCGTTCACTTTAGTTGCGCCATTCATACAAATATTGAGCAATTGGTATTAAAATAATGTTGTGAAAAATACATAGAATGACATACATTAAACAATAACTAATAATCAAATTTATTGCTAACAGATTTGTTTCATTTGTTTTATTGTTTCTATACATAATAATTATAAGATGTTAGTTATAACTTATCAGACAATAGTACAAATACATTTATAAAAAGCACATAGTAAATAGCAAGGTAACAACGCTAAAAACCTAATAATACTAATGAATAACATAGGTAAGTTTTATTTATTTCCATACATCGTGCAAATACATTTATGTATATATATATATACTTAGGTTTATATTATTATAAAATATTTTAGTTGTAAGTAATACAAGTAATCAAAGCTTGTAGTATCACAATATACATGGGCAATATAATTAAATTAAACAAAATTTACACGATGCAACGGGTGAATTGTTCGATATTTTTCTAAATGTAAAAAAACATAACAAAAAACAAATGTTTTCAAAATTTGTCTAGATTAATTTCCATTGAATTCGAATTTTGTCTAGATTTCGTGTATTTTATTAGTATAATTGATTACATGATTATTATTATACGATTAAAATTAAAACAATATTGCTAACATTATTCTACACTCAATCAGTCTCTGATTAGAAGTCGCATTTGAACAATCTTAGTAAGTACGTCTATTTCGAGTATTGAATAATAATTATTCTAGAAATAATCTTTTCACAATTTTATTTTTATTTTTTAGGAATTTTATCATACTTTCGATATGAATTAGTCGTTAAAAATTAATAATTAGGTACATGTCATTATCGAAGCGATTTTCGAATTTTATTTTTCATCGAAAACTGAGATATGTATACTCAAGTATTTACTTTTCGATAATGGTAATTTTACTATTGTTTTTTTTTTCTATAAGTTATTAATCGTATAGCTTTACCCGAGTTGTTGCGAATGCATATAGCTTGTTGAAAATAAAATCATAATAATTTCGAATGACAATTATTTAACTATAACACATTATTTAATAAGAGTAGGGTAAAAAAAAAAAAAAATGATTTATTTATGAAATGTTGTTTTTTGTACAACGTGAAAAGCGCGTTGGTGTGAAAGAAGTTAGTTAAAGGGGTGCCAGTTGCTGATGAAACGCATTTGTCGGTTTTTGTTGAAATGAAAAATTACCGTGGCCCGTTTAATCAGAAGGCGTTTTTACCACACGTTAAAAAATAACACAAAACGGAAGTGTTGGACGATAAGAGATTAGGCCTTGGGGTTTACACTTCAGAAAAGCACATTAATCCATTGAAACGTCAAAACGCTGTAAAAGATTGTTGATTAATTGAAACCTTTACACTATCTTATTTTTCTGGGTTCACCCCAGTTTTATTCAACGATGGCGAGGGTGTGCGCTGTAGCCCTTCATCTGAGATCGGTTTTAAGTAGCTTTTTTATGCTAAAAAAATACCCAAACATTTCTAAAATGTAAATAATTACTCTTATGGACGTTTGTAGGAATACTGTACAGTTTTACGAGTGCACAATTTATATTTAATACGTTTAAATAATTTATAATAAATGATTTCTGCTCAATATAACAATAATTACCATTGTAAAAATGGCCTAAAAGAAATCACAGTACATAGTTTTTACTAAAAATTAAAATATAGTAGTACAATTAATCATTATTGTTAATAATTTAGAATCCATACAATTATTAATTTAAGTTCAAAGACCAGCAAACTCGTATTTTTAAGAAGTATGTCAAACACGCAAAATTAATAAAAAAAAAAACAAAATAGTGGAATGTACTAGTACTGTTTAAATTGTAATATTTTTTTTACGAGGTTATGATTTAATATTTATAGTTATCTTATAAGTATTTATATTATAAAATATAAGGGATTCGAAGCGTTCAAAAAGATAATAATACAATGCTTAAAATAATGTCAGATGGTTACTACTTACAATATATTAGAAACTATGGCGTAAAATTAAGTTTTAAGCCGTGTTATTAAAAATCTACGTTATTAAATTGTCAAATTGGAAGTGGTGGGGAATAATTTGTTTGTCTTCCTAACTATAACGAATACGATTACAATACTTAAGGTACACACAAACACACATACACACAAGTAAGAAAACAATATTTTATGTAGTTAATGTATTGTGTATATTATATTGTATAATATAATAGTTTTATTGTGCTCATTTTACTCAATTAAGTTTGATGATTAAAAAATAATTCAAATTCGTCTGGTTAGTTGGTGATTAATTTCTAATCCTTAACGCTAGCTGCTTATATTTATGCAGCATTATAGGCCGGACCGCCTACTTCCATCCGAATCATAGGCCGAACCACTTTGATTAAATTGAAATTATTGCCTTTTCCTTTAAAAGCAACTTATTTGAATTCGTACTGTATTTATCCAGTGGTTTTTTTTTCTAAGAGCTTTCCGGTCTCCAGCCAGCTCTGAACGCTTGAAGACATTTTAGTATAAAATTAATAAAAAATACGTTTGACAAGTGTATATAAGAATAGCTGCATTCATTTGGATTTGCTTACGTTAATTAATACCTATTATGTTATAATTATAAGAAAAAAGAACACGAAATCTTTGTGTGCGATACGACGACACGTGCACATAATAATAATATAAACAATTTGAACGATAATGGGCAACGCGGGAATATGTTTTTCCTGCACATGATAATTTTGTGGCATTACAGACGTTAATGTATGTTAAGAATATGTTATGGCATGAATTACTTATGGAGTGACGTAGTATAGTTTCTAACATTATGATTAGTTAAGGAACTAGGACACGACGAGTCGTTTTTATATTACACTATACACTAATATAATAACGATGTACATATTATAATAACTATTAATATGATTATTAATATTATGGTTTGTCCTACAACGGATGCATGTACGAGTATTTCCTTTTTTTTTTTTTGGTTATAATTTATACATAATACAATAGTATAAGAATCTGATAAAAAAAATTAGAAACCGTAGTAAATAGTGAGACTCGCGTTTCATGTTGTACGCGTTTCGCATTACAATAAATCACCGTAGCCGTCGCAGGTATTTCAAATATTATTCGTATGATAAAATATTTACGCGGATACGTGTACAAAACGAAGGGATCCTAATTGAAAAATCCACACATTATTAAAAAAAAAAAAAAAATAAAACAATAATAATATTTGAAATATAATATAATATGTGTGTTATAGAGGCTCATCTACGGGCAGCCGCATTCGTCGATGACCATTTTGGGAAGATCCCGTTTAATGATGTTGCCGTCGTCCGTGAAGTATATGAGCGACATCGACGAAAACTTGACGGGCGCGCAACACGGCTGGAAGATGGACGAGTGTTTGGCCTTCCTGTAGTCTTCGATCGCTTGGGTGTAGAAGTTGAGATACGTATCCGGTGTCCTGTGTACCCCGCCACAGTCACCCCTGCAATAGTTGGCGTAGTACCCGCCGGGCGCGATTATCCACGAGTCCCAGCCGATATCCTGGAACTTGATGTAGAACCGCTGCTTACAACACTGTCCGCGTACGGCCAGCGAACAGTCCAGCGCGCGACGACGCACCCGCCTGGTCACCGTCGGATCGGTGTACACCATGAGGAACGGGTTTTCCCACTCGTTGGCCTGCCTGGTGTCGTGGAACAACACGGGCGACACGAGACCACCGCACCCGGAACAGTCGATGTGGAAACGTAGCCGGTGCTTGCCGTTCGATCTGTACCACTCCTGCACCGTGTTGGTCACGTCCACCGATATCCACCCCAAGTTGTTTAGCGATAGCGATAGGGACGACGCCAAGGTGGCGTGCTCGTCAAACTCCTAAAGACACCAAAAATCAAGATAACCGTTAAGTACAATGGAGTTATGTCACGTTGCGCTCAATATTGAGCGATCAGCGGATAACTTATTTAGTGCAAATATTCAAATTTTACCGCAATAGATCAAAATGAGTTTCACATAGTTTACCCTTAAATTCTACACGTTTAGATGAACGAAAGAAATATGTATTATTGGTGTTTATGTATTAATATTATACGCTAGAATAATGTGTTACTGTGTAGAATATGTAAGGATATGTATCTTTACCAATTACGCAAAACAAAGAGCGCGTTTAATACTTATGTAATTTATATACTATATCACATTTTTGTATGGTTTGAGTGAGTTTTACTTTTCACCCGATTTCAGTAGGACATTTACGTTGAGAATACCATACCAGCTACTAGAGACGGGTGTAATTTGATATTAGATTATTATTTTAAATATTCTTAAAATATTACAGTCAAATGAATAAAGAAGGTTCAAAAATGCTGGTTCTCATTAAGTATAGTACATATATTGTTGGGTTTTAAATATCTTTGAACAATAAATGTAAATATATTTGATTTTGTTACACTAATATATGAATTTAATTTCACTAAGTTTTTTTATCAACAAATTTAGCTGCGAGCGCACGAATTGTCTAGTGGGCTTAAAATACATATATGTTGCGTCGGACTAAGTGGATAAATAGAAACAATGAGTTGTGCAGAGTAAATAGATACAATGAATATTAAAGTAGATTTTTGTATGTACTAACTATTCGATACGATGTAACATTTGAAAGGATTTGGGAACTCAAAACCATATCATGGTTTAATATTCCAAATGATGAACACAATGGAGTGCAAGAAATGTTGTTTACTAATTATTATAACAGCTACAGTAGTATTGTATTTTTTTGTGGTTGTTGCGAAACATACCTTACCACTTAGGTACGTGGTATTCCGGAATGGGTTCGTACGGAAGTTTATCTTAAAAAGCCACAGAGTAACATTGTGGCTGTGATGTGTTCTACGAGCGACCGGAGGCACGTCCGGTCTGTATTCTAACCTAAACCACAGTTTCGCAGATTTGACTTTAACTGAATCGGAGCTTCCCATATCTTGTGACCACGGGAATTCCAACAATGTTTGTCCATTTAACGTTGATCCTGAAAAGAAAAAAAACATTTCATAAATTACACAAATTAGTAACACAAGGAGAGAAAAAATTACAAAAATCAAATTAAAAAAAAGATTTGGTATCTAATTACACAAGTCAAACGGCTCGATTGATTCACAACTGTTAGAAGTCTAGTGGTAATAACGTAACGGCCCAATCTATTAATTTGGTGTTTTATTAAAATATCTCACAATAATAATAAACATTTTAATTACTTATTTTATTAAAATGCCCCACAACTGTGTATTAATCAATTTTCAATGAAATAAAATCGTTTTTTACATTTTTCTTTGTTAAACTTCTTACTGCTTTATAAAATCTTAATCTTTTTTTCTCCTCTTCTCTGCGATAGGCACCGCATTAAGCTTCCTCTTATAAATCCAATCCTTATTTTATCTATCCTAGTTACTACACATATCCACCTCAACATTCTTTTAAACCTAACATCCTTTTTTCGTCTAAGTTTCTTATTGACTCTGCCAAACGTTCTAAACTATACTCATTACTAATCTCTACTCAGGCGTTTTACCTACCGTTATGTAACACATCAAGGTACTCAACCGTAGTAACTATATTTTGTAACATTTGCTATACTTCCACTAATACTAGTACCTACATACTAGGTAGGCCCTTTTTTTTTAATTTGGAAATTATTAGTTATTTTGACCAATGATTTCTTGTTAGGAAATGAACTGCACTATGTTTGTTAGCGTAATTTATAGCTGTAAAAACAATAATTAATGATAGATCAAATCTTGCTAAAATTGGAATAATTGTTTATAATATTGTTGTAGACTAGTTGCTGTATTAAAGTTGAACATAACCTGAATAATATAGCCGTACAAATATTATCTTATTAGATGAAAAAAAAAAAACAATTTGTAATTAGAAAAAAATGGTAGTTTGGAGGTATAAAAGTATTCTCTATGGAGGCAATTATGGCTTTTTCGTGTACAACTACTACTCTGACATCTATTATAATTATGATGTTAATTGTCGACAATGTACATATTGAATAATTTCAAATACGCCGTCTTATCCCGCACCGATCGCTGGCTGTGGCCCGAGTACTCGTCGATATTTATAGACCTCGATTTGGCCACTTTTGGACACACACGATAAAAATCGCCAAAGTCTAGACGGTTGTTGTATGATCAGGGCGAGGTAGGTAAAATTGTTCGCACTGATTATGTACTCTGATCATCACGCTACGTTGAATTATTAACAGTAATAATATGGTGTCGTGCGTACGGCGAAACATATACAACGCGAAACTAGCAATAAAAATAATAACAATAATTATGAAAATGTCGATTTTCAAAGGGACCAGCGCGGGCGTGCGGTTTTTATTATAATAACGGTCTTCTCGGAACATCCATCTACTATCGACCGTTTTATCGAAATGGCTTTTGCCGTCACATTAACCGTAATGGTAAGTGTTATTATATGCGACCCGCGACGTGAAGCCATCGTGGTCTTAAGGCGAGTTCGCGGAATATAGATTATCGCTGTAATAATAGTACAAACCATTATAATATTATTATTATAGAGGATTTCGCACCACATGTAACACGACTACACACACACACACACGTCATTATTCGTAACATGCGAAATGTTATTACCTGTAGGTCCTAGATTAATGTAAAGGCGACGGGAAAGTATGTAATACAAAGGCGTAAAAGACCAAACCAGAAACATTTCTATGCACAAATCACGGTTTTATTACAGTTATGAATGTGATATACATAATATCAAGAATCGGTTTTCGTAATCGTTTTAATGCAATAGCCAAGGCGAACCGCAGACTCCACGCTATGAGCATGAATAATGACCGCACAAACTTTAGGCATTACGCCAAGTAGTATCTGACAATGTTTTACAACAAAATCCCAGCGAGCCCCACAGAAAACATAGCTCGTCTTCATTGAGGTCTCTTTTAATACCAATTATTTTAAATTACATCACATTTATGTGAGATGTATTATCGCGTATAAATTACATTATTAGTAAAATTCTAGATTTCAACAAGTGTAACGAAATAATATTTAATATTTTTATAATTAAAAATCAATTAACAACAACGTTAACATTACAATTCGGTAAAATCATAATATAACAATAACGTGATCAATTATTGTGTATTTTATATAATAGGTCAATTTTAGTAAGAATAATGTAGTAGAATTGTAAAGTTAAACGATGAACTCAAGTAACTTTAATTGTTTCATATTATAGTAATAAATTATAATGTATTGTTACATATTTTAACTTTTTACTATACTATAAAAGTAAGACAATGTTAACGTCAATTACAATTATATTATAAATCGAATACCTATAAGTAGAAAAATAGACCAGTAATGCTAGGTGCTGTAAAAATTAATATAGTCTAAACAAAATATTATGAATCAGCATTATTATAACCTAGTACAGCATAAATTAGCACAGAATAAACCAGTACAGTGAGAAGTTGGGATAGTGGAGTAAAGACAATTATTATGAAATCTGAAAGTGATTTAAATGTGAGAATATAATGCAATGACCCAGATGAAGGGGGGCCCCTAGCCCAACTCCAAGAGGCCCCTTTACCGGGGCATTGCAACTACTGCCCCTGCGGTTTTTGAGGCACTGGCGTATAAATAATAAATATAATATCAATAATAATATGATAATCTAGGATCCGCTCACAAATCGCTGCGGTCAAACCGCTATGTATGAATACGTCTATTGAAAGCGGTCAACCGCTAAAATTGTCCCTTGCGCGATTTTCGGCTCGACGACCGCGTCCGTCCATCATAATTAAACTGCATATTTTCAATCATATCTTCATATTTAAAGGGGCCTCTTGGAGTTGGGCTAGCCCCCCCCCTTTATCTGGGTCATTGCATTATATTCTCACATTTAAATCAAATAAATATTGTATTAAAATTATTGAATACATTTATTTAGCGTCAGATATTGACTTAATGAAAACATTTTAATTTCTATTAATTTCTATGTAACTAAATTTTAATATAATATTAATTATATACTTTAATTAATTATGTCTTTTGACACTGAAAAATTGTATAATACTGAAAATATTTTATAAATTATAAAAACCGCATTAATAAACCGCGTTTGATCCGCTCCGTGTGTAAGTACATAGCGGTTGCGGTCGCGGATAAAAACCGCGACCGCGCGCGGCTAAACCGCTCCGTGTGTGACCAGCTTTAATCTTGCAAGGTCCATATGAAACGAATAGTATTGTTAGTTTAAGAAATCGGGTTACAAATTTTAATAGATAAAATGGCTGAAAGCAATTTTGTCTTAAAATTAAATAATACACCAAGTGAGTCAGAGCACATTTCATCTGTCTGTGATGGTAATTTAGTGGCTAATTTATATTGTATAATATTAACATGTATTATATTTAAAAAATGTATATATATATATATATATATAAAGAGTGAAATACGGTTGTACCGATCGAGCACCGGTTAGGTACATGGCGGTTACGGTCGACGACCTAGTGTAATTTTAAATTGTCCATGAGCAATGTCTGACCCACTGAAACGTCTTATATCACATATAGTACGAGTATAATATATCATTAGTTATTTTTTGAGAGTTATATATTAAGAGTAATTATAAAAATGCCAGAATGTTAAGTATCAAAGATATATTAAAGAAATTTTTTAAAATTAAAACTGTAAGTAAAATAGATAAAAAATATAGTTGTAAGACAACAGCTTACAATGTGATTATTGAATTTCACTTTTTTTAAAGGTACGTAAAAAAAAATGTACGAACATTAAAATAGATATTTTACATTTTCCTAAATAATGCAATTTCTCTATTATAGATAGTCAACAGTCCAATGTACACAGTATCTAAAAAGAGTATGAAATAATTAAATTAATTTAAATAATTTCACTGATATTGGTGAAAATTCACGGAGCACATAAATAATTTTCATTTAATTCACGGACCTATTAACACGAACCATTCTAATATTCTGATACACGTATTTTGGTGTACACGTGAAATATAAAGCTGTTATACGTGTATAACATACAGACATTCTGTCATTATTTAAGTCTTCTATAGTTGTTTGTGCGGCATCAATAAAGTGTTTATTGCCATTGGGTATAGCACGTGCCTACACAATACATAAGTCCAGCATTAATTCGTGTACAAAATATAATCGTTAAACCCGTTTTAGTCGGGTCTAGAGGGTAAACCGTTTAACATTCGTTTCCTTAGTATATGCAATCGCAGATAGTCGCCATTTTATATCGACATTAACATCAACATGTTGACAAATATGTGGAGTAGGTCAACCGTGTTGGGTCCTTGAGTACTATGCATACAGTTATCTAGCTAAAATGCCAAAATCGGCCAAAATTTGCTTCGGGCGAAACACAGTACGAGGTCGGAGCAGAATCCCGTTGGATTAATTAAATAAAACAATATATATTATACAGGGTGATCCATCCGATGTAAGACACGCACTTTTTCAGAAAATATGATTATTTCGAAAACAATTTTTTTCCTATACTTGTAGATATACATTTTACTATAGCATTCAATACCTTAAAATGGTTTATCTTCATCCCTTTTACTTAAAACAAATCAAGGGTACAGGGAAAAAAACCAGCAGTCACTTTTTAAAAATGGCAATTTTTTTGTCATCAAATTCGTTTTGACACAAATTGAATCTGATCTTTATTTTTAAGCACAATTATAAACAAAAACTAAACATTTTTTAAAAGTTTTAAATATTTTTTTAACATTTTAAAACATTTTTTAGCATTGCTTAAACATGTTTTTCTTAGATTAGAAAAAAGTGACTTTGCTGGTTTTTTCCCTGTACCCTTAAAGTATGGGTTTCGTTTTTTTAAATGGGAACATATGTTTTTATATCCATGAAAAGGACGCTACCCACCCGTAATTTATCCACGAAAATAATTTTTTCGGGGGACAAGAGTGTGAGGGGGGTAAATA